AAAATGTTATTTTTAACTATTATAGGTTCAAATTCATTGCTTGGGCTCCCTGTGGTCGAACTGATTTGCGTTCCTCCTACACGACATCGCTTACGTTTTTATTATCGTCCAATCAGCGCGTAGTATTTTCCCGCCTTTACTTCTCACATCGCGCGAATCGTCAGTTTTTGGTTTGATGTCAAGAGAGTTGGGTGCCGCTCAAAGTTTTGTTGGTTTATTGGATATTTTGTGCTCAATTTACACTTAAAATGGTGGAAATATTGTTCCTTACAAATACCTTGACAAGTGGTAAGTGACTTTTGATATACATTCTGTGTCTAAAATCGTTTTTGAGATACTTTTTGAGTGCAGAACCCGTTTTAACAAAAATCCATTTTTCATCTTTCACAGGTCCACTGTCAGGGTAATATGACAAAGACCAGCAATCCAAGGTTTGCTCATACTAAATGTCGGAAAATACGACAATAATTTTAGTTCTCGAAAATTAACCTCTGTAGTTGTTTTTCTCATTCAACTTTCCTGTTTGCTAGTCTTGAATCAGTCTTGAAAAATCACAACCAAGTTCACTGACCGCACGGTTGTCTCAAGTTTTCTCTCATTTTATTCAAAAATTTCTTGAAATATTCATTTTAAAATGAAACGCAAGACAAAAAAGAAAAGAATTTCGGTCATAATCTTACTCAAACTTTGAATTTTGACCCCAAAGCAAAAACAAGACATTTTCAAGTTCATGATCAATATTTTATTGAAGCATGAGTACCATGAGTACTGCAAAAATAATCTTACTTTTTAACACTTTGCATTAGGAACTTTGTAAATGTACAGTTTAAAGTCATATCTATGGAGCTGTCATTTTGTTCAAAATTTAGTGAAAAACTGTTGAAAATTAATCTAATGTGAAATGATAAAATACTTGTCACTGTCCAAGTCTTTCAAATTATACAAAACTGAGAAAAAAATGTGCAACAAAAAAATATATAGAATTTGATAAAATAGATATCTTATGAACAATGAAATTATTTGAAGTTATTGTAAGAATAAGACTAGTTTTTTTAATAAACAGTTTGATGTGAATTTTGCTGTGTTGAAAATTTTTATCRGTGCAAACCTTCATCTCTGGGTCTAATTATTGAATTTATCTATATCCATAACTCAAGTCCAGGATAATTATCCTGA